CCAGGACAGCCGGGTCCCCATCCTGGCTCCAGCCCTGAGCAGGGGCTCAGCACCCCCGGCCCCGCTTGGGGACCGTCCTACCGAAAGGCTCCCAGGCCATGGGAGAAGATGATCAGTGGGTACCCGCTGCTGCAGGGCTTGAAAGGCCCGTTCCAGCTCACCGGCACTCTGCAGGAGCCTGCGGGGAAGAGAAACCCCCCAGGAAAAGGGGTGCTGCTGCTGCAGCGGGTTGCTGCTTGGCTCCATCTATCCCTGCCACCCAGCTCCCCTGAGCAGGGGGGACAGGCTTGGTGTCCTTGAACCCCGCTAAGGGAGCAGATGCCCAGGGGACGGGGGAGCACCCGGGATGGGGGACAGGGTGCTGGCCGCCCCCTTACCAATGGCGACGCTGAGCAGGGGCGCGCACCAGCGCCGGCTGCAGTGGGCGAAGTCGGCCAGCCCACCGCAGTACTCATAGCGCGGGATCCAGAGCGGCCGCTCGGCCCCTGCCTGGGGCAGGCAGGGGTAGAAGAGGCGGAGGAAGAGCCCCTGCAGGAGAGAGGGGAAGGGGGGACATGGTGGGGACAGCACAGAGCAGCGGTGGCCATGTCCTCGGCGAGCTCAGCCCTTGCAAATCCCGTCTGGCTGCAGCTACCCTGCTGTGCATGGAAGCCTGTCCCCGTCCCCATCCCTATCCCCGTCCCTGTCCCGTACCTGCCGCGTATGGCCCACCATGACATCCGCGCAGCCCACGTGGTGAGGACCCTTCCCCAGGGGCAGTGCCAGCGACTGCATCCCCCCCATGCTGCCGCAGCCAAGCCTAGGCAGAGGCACGGGGTCAGGGTCCATCCCCCACCTGGGGGACCCCGACTCGGTCCCTCCTCCTTCCCCCACCCCTCTCCTGTTGCCCAGACACCGGGCATCCCTCCCAGCACCGTGCCAGCAAACACACCGGCAGCAAGAGGAGAAATGAGGCTCCCAATTCCCACCCCACCGAATTCCCACGGACGAAGACCCTCGGGGCTGCTCAGGGATGAAACCCCATGGTTTCTCTCCCACGCGCTGCCGGAGCAAGGCAGTGGGGCTGACAGCTGGTTGGTGACCGACCGGGCAGGTGGGGCTCAGCAGAACCTGCCCCACGGCTCCCCTGCTGCAGGGCAGCCGTCCCCGTCCCTGTCCCCCCCTGTGCCGAGGGATGCTGAGGGCTGGGGGGAGGCAGCACAGCCAGATGCTGCAGAGCTGGGGTGGCACAGGGGATGTGCGAGCAAGGGGTCAGCGCGGGGCTGACATGGCCGTCTGCCAGCCCTGAGCACCCACGGGAGCCACCGAGGACACGGGGCGGGGGGGGGGGGGGGGGGCGGGGGGGCCCCCGA